CTACTGCCCGCCCTCCCCCGGCGGTGGCCGCAGCCTCCCCCGGGACCCCCGAGCGTCCCCGTCCTCGGCGCGCTGCCGCTCGTCGGCCCGGCCCCGCACGCCGACCTGGTGTCGCTAGCGCACAAGTACGGGCCCGTCATGTACCTAAAGATGGGCACCTGCGGCGTCATGGTGGCGTCGTCGCCGTGCGCGGCGAGGGCGTTCCTACCGGTGCGCCGCGATGAGGCTGGCCGGCTGCTGCGCGGCATGGTGGAGGCGTCAGCCGCCGGTCGTCCCGTCGTCATCCCGCCGCCGCTGACCACACAAACGGGGGAGAAAGAGATGAGGGAGAGAGAGGGAGGAGGAAGATTTGGCCCCGCCGCTGCCACCGCCGACCATTCCCTCGACCGCCGCCGCCGCTGCCCTAGACCCCTAGTGTCGCTTGCCTGCCGCCGGCCGCCGCCGCTTGTCCAGCTCTCGCCCCTGCAGACCGGTGAAAAGAAGAGAAAGAGAGAGAGAGAGGATGACATGTGAGCCCCACATGTCAGTGGGTCCCACAATATTATTTTTTGTGTGAATGACATATGGGTCCCATATATATATTTTTTAATTCGAATGCCACGTAAGCGCCACGTGAGACAAAGACTAGGTCAACATCGACACATCAGCGCCACATCAGCAAAACCGCCCTCCAAAACCACTGAGGGAGTCAAATTGCACCGGTTTCAATAGTTCGGGGAGTCGTCTTATCCGGTTTTACGTTTGAGAGTCACGAATTAGGTTCCACCGATAATTAAGGGTGTTAAAGTGGACTTTTTCCTATTCCTTTCCCATTGGTGCCCCTAGCCCATTGGCACCGCGAAAAAGTTTTGGCCCAATTATCGGTTGGCCAGATTTGCATCGATCTGTTTGGGCTGGCCCATGTGTAAAGGGTAAGATGAGCTAATATCTTTCTGCGTTTTTGCTGCTGGACAGGCCGCTTCCGGCATCGGCGATACGGCGGACTTAGCGAGACTTTGCCGGCCGGCAAATTTCGAGCTGAGCTCTCGACGCCAAACCGGCGGTATATGCGGCATTGCGGGCGGCTGATGCTATTACGGCAGTACGGCTTACTCTAAGTTTAGTCTTGTATGCACGCGAAATATCGATAGTAGACTTTGTACTACTTCCTCCGTCTTAAAATGTATCTATTTTTAATGTTGGCACAGGTATTAAAAAAAGTAGATGAGAATGATTGTAGAAAGTATATGATTGTTTAAAAAGAGAAAGTCGGTGAAGAAGAATGGTTGTGATTGGTTGACAGGAAGAGGTAGGTGGAGAAATAACTTAATTTTGAGACAATGTACTGTGCTAGAAATAGCTATATTTTAGAGCATCTCCAATGGTCTATCTAAATCGGACTCTCCAAATGTCTATTTGGTCAACTCTTCATCTAATTTGGCAAGTCAAACTCGTGGTTTACTCCAACTGCCTCTCCATCTACTATCTCCATTATAAATCTATTATAAATGGGACCCATATGTCAGCCTATACTACCATTTTTCCACCACATTCCCCATACATCCCCTTCTTCCTCCCTTCTACCTCGGATGTAGCGACGGCGGACAGCGGAGGCGGGCGCGCGAGGTGGCGGCGGACGGCGGCGACTCGTGGGCGCGGGAGGCGGGCCAGGGGACAGCAGCGAGCGGAGACGGCGCCGAGCCAGCGGGCTGTAGCGCGGAGATTCACTCCTCACCGGCCTCCCTCGCTCCTCTCTCACCGCCACGCCCTCCATCCCTCGCCGGCGCGGCTGGAGACGACGCGGACGGCGGCGGCGGTCGCGGCTGGGGATGACGCGGACGGCGGCGGCGGTCGCGGCTAGCTCTGGTGCCTCTCTCCTCCGTGCCGTCGCCGTCGTACGGTTCGTAACCGTCGCCGTTCACGAGCGGCGCCATCGCTGCCTTCTTGCTCTAGCCGGGGGAGATGGAGAGAGATGGGGTGGAAGGTGGAGTGGTGGGGCCCACGAATAGCTAGGCAAAGAGACTCTAAGTTTGGCTAGTGAGGGGTGTGATTTAGCCATCCGAATGATTTGGCTAACCACATAGAGAGGCTATTGGAGAGTTTTTTTTTTCATACTTGCTAAATTTTAACTTGGCGAGTCATTTAGCCTTTATATTGAAGTTGATCTTAGAACGGAGGTAGTAGAATGCAGTGTTGAGACCCTGCCGCCCTCGCGTTTGACCCAGCTCAACCTGCAGCGGTGCAGCCGAACCTGGTCTCACGTGAACTCCCCGTCTGACCCGCCGGTAGTAGAAACTTCTCATCGTTTAGCTCTGTTTTTCTTCTTTTAAAAAAAATATAGATCTGGTTTGAAAAATGCTCAAACATTTAGGTTATATTTGAAGCAGATTATTACCAAGATTAACTACTTGATTTTACAGGAATGAAGTAGATTATAACAAATCATCTAGACAATACAGTTTAAGATTTTTTTTTTTGAGAAAACATAATTTTGGAGTTGTGAAGTACATAATCCTGGAGCTCCAAATAATCTCTCGTGGAGTAGCTGGAAAATTTATTTTTTTTCACTACAAGAAAGAAGAGCTGCATTGTGTGACGTAGCCCTACAGTGATCCTACATGTACCAGCCGGCCATCCTAAAGAGTGATGAGAAGCTAGTCGTGTATACTGGCGGTACTGCGTAGTGCGTACGTAGGGACATTAGTATACTGGAACATGATAAGTGGCCCTGCAGCCTGCAGGCCACCCGGACCCCGGAACTAAGTACTCCCCTATAGGAGTACCTAGCCAAACAATAACAGATGCTTTACTACAGGAGATGATACAGAGTACTCCATAAAGCTAGCATACTCCCTGTGTCCTAAAATAAATCAAGCTAAGATATAATATACTCCCTACGTTCTATAATATAAGGGATTTTGATTTTTTTCTTATACTGTTTGACCACTCATCTTATTAAAAAATTTGTGCAAATATAAAAAACAAAAAGTTATACTTAAAGTACTTTGGATAATAAAATAAATCACAAATAAAATAAATAATACTTCCTCCGTCCCACAATATAGAGATTTTCAGTTTTTGCTTATAACGTTAGACCACTCGTCTTATTCAATTTTTTTTTGCAGATATAAAAAATAAAAAGTTGTGCTTAAAGTACTGTAGATAATAAAGTAAGTCACAAATAAAATAATTAATAATTTCAAAAAATTTTGAATAAGACGAGTGGTTAAACGTTGCAAGGCAAAAACTCAAAATCCCTTATATTATGGGACGGAGGGAGTAATTTCAAATTTTTTTAAATAAGATGAATGTTCAAACAATATAATTAAAAAGTCAAAATCCCTTATATTATGGGACGGAGGGAGTAACATTATCTATTGATGTTTTATGTCAAGTTTGTTTGTTTTGAAATGGAAGGAGTAGCTGCCATACTTTGCTTGTATTGTTATCAAGGGAAAATTGGAACCATGCCATTATAATTTTGTAAAATTTAAGATATACCATTCTGACCCACATGTGATTGACTCATGTGGGTTCTATATGTCATTGAGATACCGATCACATATTTTAAATTTTATAAAATTATAATGGCATGGATCAATGCATAGGAAGAGAGTGGAAGTACGAATCGAACAGGACAACGTACGTCATCAGTTGTTCAGTTATCTCACCTGTCAAAATTAAATCAAGTACTGCCCTCGAGGGATATCTGTTGGCAAATACTACAATATATTTTTAATTTTGATTGAGACTTGGAACCTGGCAAATATGGTATTTTAGCGCGATTAAATATCTTCATGAGGCTGATTTTTGGTGGAGATATAACCGTACAGGGACTGGACAAGTTCTGCTTCGCCCAAATATCTGTACGGAGTAACCTTATAGAGTTACTCCGTGGTTACTTTCCTATTGTTCTAAGTAATGCACGCGGTACAATGTTCATGAGAAAGGGTTCTCTATTGATGCAAACGTTGTGCTTAGAGGATATGGATAGAAGAAGAGGGAAAAACAAAAATAAAATAAATAAAGAAAAAAATAAGTCGAAGATAGAAGAGCCCAAATTCCAAATGATGTCCACTGTCCCAAAATAAGTATATCTAATATAGGATGCAACATATTCTAGTACTGGTGATCATGTTAGCAACGGCAGCCTAGGAGCCCAGGCTTAAAAATCTCTTCGGCAACGACGGCTCTAGGGGTAGCAACGGCCTAGGATAGCGGCGGCCTGAGTGCTGGCGCAAGGTTCTCGGCAAGGAGGTGAATGTGGGTCCCGGTGGCGGCGGTGGTAGCCCTAGTGGCAGCGGCGGCCTGGGAGTTCGGGAGGCAGAAAAGAATCCCGTCAATGGCGGCAGCCCTATGGGCGGTAGAGGAATCTGGCGAAGCGAAAGTGGATCTCGTCAGCTTGTGTCTTGTCGCTAGTTCTAACTAGACGACGATGAATGAAGGTGGGCTAATCGGCGGCGCGTGACGTTAGCTCACCTGAAGCGGTTGAAAATGGCACTAACGGAGATTCACAACAACGACACACTAGGGGCAGTGGCGACTAGGCGATTTCCACTCATCGAATCTGGCTGTTTGAGAAGGTGATGTCACGAAGCAGGGTCTGAGGTAGTAGGATTTTCGTTTTTATGGTTGTGTGTTCTCTTTCTTTGTTGAGATGTAAGTTAAGTGCTTTTGTATTTTTTTTGCTGTGTATATATCATAAACTTTATGGATATTCTAGCTGGATTAATGAAAATTCATTTCTAAAAAAGTAGCTTTTTAAGTTCTAGAATATGTCACATCATATACTATGTGTAATTATTTTGGGTAAAGGGAGAATGAATTAGCTAACTTTTCGTACAGTTTGATCCAACACCGTTGCCACAAAGCCTCCTTGCTACTCGAAGAGGATTCGGATCCTAGTTGTACTTGCCACGGTGCCGCCTAACAGGCAGCCGTACCTGCCTGCGACTCGATCTGATTTGTCCACGTTGCGTCAGATCCCCGTCTCGCTCGCCTCGCTACTTTTATACTCCCCTCTCAGCTTTCCCAGCAAATGCAACGCTCGTACTCCTCGCATCAACAGCCTCCCTCCTCCGCTCTCAAAAAAAAAAAAAAACAGCCTCCCTCCTCCCTCCCGAAGGCCAAAGCTACCCTCCATCAGCTACAACAAGCGACAGGCGGCGATCGCCTGCGGTCGTGCGCGCGTGGCGTACGTGCGGCCACCGAGTAGCGGCATCTGAGATGGTCCTGCGCCGGAGACAGAGACCGGCGGCGGCGGCTGCAGGTGGGCTGCTCGGGCCGTGGCTCCTCGTCGCCGTGCTTGTATACTCCTCGTTCCTCGGCTCCACCGTCTTCTTGGCAGTCGACGCCGCCCGCACGTCGGCGTTCGTGGCCGTGGCGCCGCTACCGATGGCCCCTTCGCCATCGCCGACCGCGGCCGAGCTTGTCGGTGACAGCAAGCGGAAGGTGCCCACCGGTGCAAATCCGCTGCACAACAGATGACAATCATCGAGCGAGCAGCAGCTGGGAAGGTGAGCGACGCAGCGTTCGGTAGCATGTGAGAAGCGAGGAACAAGCGAGTTAAGCTGTCAGGGAAGCCATGCATATGAAGAAGCTAGCTAGCTACTGCTGCTCCTTGGTGAGACCGTAAGAGAGCAGAGAGCAGCCAAGCGGAAAGGGGTGGCGGTGGAGAGATCGGCAATGGCGCGGCCGCCGCCACCGTAAGCTTCTGATTCTGCTTCTTTTCTTCTCCACACTTTTTTTTTGTTTCTCTTTGATCTGTCGAAGCTGTGATCCGAGAGGAGAAATGAAGCTGAATGAGAAGGGTACTGTGGAGTGCCACATGCTTTACGTAGCTAGCCACAGCTAGATATACTATGCTCTTCTTGTTTTTAGCATGTCATGGTTGCGAATTGATCAATGCTTCAAGTAAAAACGTTCATGTACTCATTGGTTTCTTCTTTTCTAGCAATAAAAATGCACATATATGTCTATTCTGTGCATTCTTCTATACATGTAACTTTAGGATCGATTACATTGGAAACTTCTTCAAATTAGACGATTTTTTAGATAGTCCCTTAAAGAGCCTATATATGCTATCTCTATTCAACTCGCTCTTAAATATACACAGGAATACCAATTTGTTGACAAAACAGGCTGGTCAATGTAAACACCTTCGCCTGCCACTTACATATAGGCTTACACTAGCTGACTTCTCCAATCTCTAGCAGCAGAAGTGCTGTGTCAATGGAGGGGCTAGCTATTTTTGTCCGCAACCTTATTTTGGTGCTAGATTTTTACCAACGTAGTGTAAGATATTGTTAGCTGACAGATATTGCACATGTTCCTGCAATACATGTCTGTCAGTGTGTCATTTGCGCGCTCGCTGGGCATCCTTCGCGAAGATGAGAAAAGACGCATTGTACGTGTATGCCTGCACGCGAAGCCGTTAATTGTATTACTCCATCCGTTTCGAAATGTTTGACACCGTTGACTTTTTAGCACATGTTTGACCGTTCGTCTTATTCAAAAACTTTTGTGAGATATGTAAAATTATATGCCTACATAAAAATATATTTAACAATGAATCAAATGATAGAAAAAGAATTAATAATTACTTAAATTAAAATTTTTGAGTAAGACGAATGGTCAAACATATGATAAAAAGTCAATGGCGTCAAACATTTCGAAACGGAGAGATTACGTACGTATACCAGTGTGGCAGTTATTAGTGGCCACCGTCCTGCAGGAACAGTCCAAAGTGAGTCCTATGGTCTGATACAGTAGCTCTAGCTTCGTCGACGTCCGTTGCGACCGTGGAATTTGACTTGATCATTTTAATCAGAGATCGTTCAGACACCCAAGGCCAACTGCAGATTAAAAAAACGCATCAGTCTTTACGCATACAGTTCCAAACTCCAGTGCTGTTCTCAAGGCCGGAAACGGCGACCAATACCCACATGGCTAGGAATTCAGTAGTACCAACTGCAGTACACAAACAACAATAGTTTTAATTTCCATAGCTGTTTCCAGATTAAGATCACACGTTATATACTACTCCGTATATACACTCAACTCGCGGTTTGATATCTAATTTAAATACTCTCTCTATATATTATACTACTGTAAATTGATCCTTGTTTGGAGTGCATCTATTCCGTTGTTCAAACGGAACCATCTTTCTGGGATTCAACGTTCATAGGGAAGCATCTTGTGGCCTTTTCCTCTTGGCAGCGCACTCGATCGTGCGGGTCTTTGTATGCAGCTAGCGAGCCTAGAGCGTGTGCGCTTGGGCAACTTAACGCACAAGACGCCGGAGAAGGTGCGCTCATGTCGCTTCAGCTAGATCCATATCTCCCCTTTCTCCCATCTACACCTGCACTAACCACGACGCATGCGCTGCGCGCCCTATCTTTCACCGATCGATGGATCCGGGTGCATGCAAGCTCTAAGTCATGATCTACGAGAGCTTAATCTTAGTAGTACTAGTTTAATCCAAGGTCAAAATGGACTGGTGAGCATAGGAGTGCGCACACTTTTGTATTTCACCGCGTCTGCACTCTGCAGCACTGCATATATAGTCCTGCACAGTTCAAGATGGAGGTAAAAACCTTGACAAGATGGTTAGGAAGAGTAGTAAACCTTAACCACGATGTGATAGCTATCTCGGTTCCAGATTTGTACTAAACATGAACTAATTAGCCCTTTGCTGAAGATGCTTTGCAAGATTTGACTGTCGTGGAATCCCAAGACAGGGTAAGATAATGGTTAGGAATAGACTAACAAAATTTGAAGTATTGCCTCAGGTACCATTCTAAAAAAAAAGTATTGCCTCAGGTTAACGCAATGTTTTTGTACTCCAGTCATCAGGTAGCTTATGTGCAAAGGAAGAACATTACAACATACATACTCCATGGTTTACTCCGGTCAAGCACACGTAAATCTTCAATCCATGCCAGCTGCGTCGAGGTTAACCCTGCCCATGGAAGCGCGAGGTGGAAATAAATGTCATAGAAGTGCGGTATCTTTCTCACCTTAATTAAGCCAGAGCCGGGCTTGAAAACCCATTTTGGTCACGCAGCTCAAGAGATTCCAAGCCAGCGTCCATGCAAATGCATGACGGATGCATAGCCCGCGCGCGCTGGGGCTGGAGCGAGGGGAGCCCAGCGCCGACCAGTGGCTGGGTCGCCACGGTTTCCCGGGCTTTTGTTTATCGCTTCGAAGGCGTTGAATGTTTGCTGCCGCCATTAATGAGGTCACGTGAGGTGGAACCGTGGCCACCCCGGCCGCATTGGCTGCCCTGATCGATCCATCGGTCAGCTGAGACCGCGTAAGGTCAGCTGCGCTGATGGATTGATCTCTCGCTGTTGGATCTGTAGTCCCTGCTTGCTCTGGCCTCGGTGTTCTTCTCGAGAGATCATTTTCTTTTGGCAAAATTGGATCTATAGCATCGAAAGTTTCTGTTTTAGGTTTTGTAACACCGAAAGTTCACCGCTTACTTTATTAGCATCCAAAATCTCTCTCTGTTCCCATACCAAGCAATTCCGTCCATCTCATCCCGTTTCCCGTTTTCTTTGACTGGATTGACCAATCTCACCACGAACAGAACTGGAACGAACTCTTCCGTGCTTGGTGGCAGCGACGGCCTTGCCGCATTTGTCCATCCTTGGATGTCATCATCGTCCCCATTACCGGTGGCAACACGGACTCAGCCCAACAGTCCGTGCATGTTTAATTGCTTGATGCGCTGCTCGCCGTCAATTAACTGAAAAAGCTTTTCACTTGCATCAATTTACTACTAAAAGAGCTGTCCACTGAAATTGATTGGAGATCGATGTGATGGTCAAGGTTGTTACCGCAGGACGGGCTGCCAGCGATGGACAAGCAAGGTGGAGTGGGAGCTGCTGCATAGCCACTGATGATGGATGTGCAACGTTGGTGGTAGTCTGGTAGAAGTCTGACGGCGAGGTGGGGAAGCAGCTGAGCAGGAGCGGACGAACAAAAAGCTGCCGCTGGTGATGTACGGCGGCGCCGGTGATGGTACGTAGAAGATGGGTCACGCAGCTAAGGTCGCAGGAGAAGATACAGCAAGGGGAAGGCCACTGCCGGTGGGAGCTAGACGAACCTGAACTTGATCTGTGCTCCCAGTGGGATGCCCAGTATGGTTGGCGAGTTGACATGGCTACCGGAGTCAATCCAGTCAAAGAAAACAGAAAATAGGATGAAATGGACGGAATTGCTTGGTATGGGAACGGAGAGAGATTTTGGATGCTAATAAAGTAAACAGTGAACTTTCGGTGTTACAAAACCAAAAACGGAAACTTTTGATGCTATAAATACAATTTTGCCTTTTCTTTTTCATCATACGGCCTATAGAGCACAGTGCCACAGACTGGCCAATGGCCACGAGCACGACGACGAAGATTAACGGGCCCATGGCCGAGGACGGAGGCCCATCAGGCCTAGCCTATAACGTTTCAGCCCAACATGTAAAAGGCCGGCACGTCCGTGGTTCCGCCCATGCGTGATGGGCCCACATGACCGTGGTCATGGGTATCCAGTTCCGGTTCTGGGCTAAGTCACTGGTTCGTCTTAAGGCTCGGGTGGCCCACGGCCCACCAGGCCGGGCACTCTTCCTCCCCGACACGGCACCACCGCACCACGGGACGCGGCGGCGTAGAGATTCCCCGCCGCGCCGGATCCCGAACCCGTTCACCGCCCAGCGATGGCCTCGCACCTCCGCTCCCCGCTGGTGCTTCTGCTGCTGCTCGCCCTCCACCGGCTGTGTGCCCCGTGGCTGGTGGTCGCCGACGACGGCGCCTCGGTGGCGAGGTCGGCCTTCTCCATGGACGGCGACGTGGCGTGGGTGGTGCAGGTAAGCGACCTCCACATCAGCGCCTACCACCCCGACCGCGCCGACGACCTCGCGAGCATCCTCGGCCCCGCCCTGCGCGCCATCCGCCCCCACCTGCTCCTCGTCACCGGCGACATCACAGGTGAGCGGCGAGCCCCCTTCTCATGTATCGTCAAATTTGATTAAAAAAAAGTCACGAATTGTTCCTTCATGCATCCATTTTGTACAGTTGTTTGGTAAGGAGCATGGCAACTGCCGAGAAATAGACCGTATCTACTCTGGTTTTGACATATTGCAAGTGATCGGTGTTGAGTGGTATTGTTATATGTGGGAAATAGCAGTATATAAACTCGATTAGCTATGCTGTGAACGTAGAATCAACTTCCGTATAAGCTGTGAACTCGATTAGCTATGTGGGAAATTATGCTCACAGCATGAGCTTTTTGTTACAGTTGTGCTGTTAAATGCGCATGTACTTCTGAACTAATCCCATCTAGTACATGATGGCACTGACTACGAAGGAATATCATGTTCTGTTAATGAGAATCTGCAGAAAATTCTGATTCATTTCCATGTAGCGTAGGCAGGTTGAATTTGTATTTGTGGTTGCCAAGTATTGCCTAAAAAGATCAAATGATACAGTAACTCAGAGTCCATGGCTCCATGCCATGAAACTTGAGAATAGCTTCATTAGTTAATGCAAGGTAAAGCATACAACTTACAAACTACCATAAGGTTAGTAGATCATTTTTCTAATAAACTCAGCTAGCGTAACATCCATAAACATATTCTGGAAATATCCTGGAGTTATTGGCCTAACATTCATTTCAACTATTTGCATGAAGAATATGACTCTGAATTTGTTGTATAAACCATTAAATTCTCCAATATCGTATCTAATGGCGACATACATGAAAGCTGCTTTGTTACAACAAATGGAGATAAATCCCAAATCACTTGAAAACATTACTAACTGTATTTTTTATATTTGGAAAATATTTATTTGTATGTGGAAGGTCAAATATTGGAAAGTTGATTTGGTAGTAAATTTGGATAACTTCAATTTTCGTCCCTTGCTATAATGCATTTCCTTTTTTCACCTTGAGTGTACATGTTAATTTGTTAGACAGAAAGCCCTTGCTAGAATAATAAGGAAATGAAACAAGCACATATATGGTTGATGCAATTGAATGTATATGTTGTTCTTGTAGTTTTATATATTCCTATGACTGTATAATAATTTCCAGTTTTTTCGTGGGATGTTAACAAGATGCAAAGAATAGGAGAAAAACTACGTCAAGACAAGATGAGAGGGAATGGATTACATACAAAAAAGCTATTGATGCAATTGTTGGAATAGGTGGTATTGATAAGAGCAGGATATTTGATATTAGAGGTAATCATGATACATATGGAGTTCCCTATAGGGGAGGAAAATTGGATTTCTTCTCAACTTACAGTGTGAACTCACAGCTTGACCGATTAAGCACCATCAGTAGCATTTTGCTTCAGGTACTCCTTATCTTCTTGTCTGATCTCCTTGTTAGGCACAATTAATTTTGTTCATAGTCGTTTATCATGACTTATTATTCGTCATGCGCATAATCCAGTGTACAGTTATCTTTCAATTAATCCAGTTCTATATTCTGCTTCTTTGAAGATGTAAAGCATACTATAACATATTTGCTGTCAGAGCTTCAGTTGAACATTGACCTGCACTTTATACCGCTGATTACTGTGCACAGAATTAATGCTCCTCTGCCTTGATTATTGAACGTCCTCTTTGGTTAGCTGGTAGAACAATATCTATTGGTCCATAATAAATATTACTCTCGTGTGATACTGGGCATGTAGTACTACAAATACATCATGCTTCAATATCATACTGATGATACTTGAAGCAGAAATGTACGATAAGCTTGAACATAGCACTAAACCATCTTACTCAATGGAGAACAGCTCTTGCTAACTAGACTTGACCATCAATTATAATTTACTAATAATTGCATTTATATGTAACAATAATGATGTAGTGTGCTATACTGATGTCAATGCACCTTCAGACTCGCTTAATGTACACTCAATAGCAGGACAGATGAAGGTGGCTATACATTCAGCACTTAAACCATAACTGGCCTGTGTCAACCTACAATGGTAGTTAAATTTACTAAACTATAACTCTATTTATCTTTGGCAGCTATTACGAATCAAATTATGTCTTATCTGTGCCTTATAATTTCCGTAACCCACTTTGTCTCTAGCACTTATATAGATTTCTAATGGTGTCATAACAGTACTAGAGGAGATTTTTTTTTTTATGTTGGGCTATCTGTGCATAACACATTGTCTATGTTGGATTATCTGTGCATAATACATTGTCAAAATTCTTGTACCATTTATATGCCACGCATCTCTGCTAATTCTGCTTACAATGCTGGGCCTGAATTTTATCCTAAAAGGTACTGTAGGGACGCAGGAATTATCTCTTCCTTGGCATAGATGATACAATGAGTATTGGCATTCGATATCCAGCTAATTTATTTGGCCATCCTACTGATAAGAGGATAGACGCTGTTAATTCAGAACTTCAATACTGGTCCAATCATTCCAATGTTCCAATAACAAAAGTAGTTTTTGGACATTACCCTATGTCATTCACTACTTCATCTCAAAAAGGACAACGTTATGAAAGTATATTTGCAAAGCAGTCAATTTCAGCATACCTATGTGGCCATCTGCACGCGAAAATTAGTAAGCAGCTTTGGCGGTTTCATGAAATGAGTGCAACAACACAAGAGCAGAAATCAAGCTATTGGGAATGGGAACTTGGAGACTGGAAAGAGTCAAGACTGATGAGGATTTTAGCAATTGATGGAGGTGCAATCTCTTTCATAGACCACACACTAAAACAGGCATTTCAAACTTCCATCTTGATCACATACCCAACAGATTCAAGAAGTATGAATACATTGGAATCAATGAATTGGTCAACGAGAAATGATATAAATGTTCTTGTTTTCTCTAATCAGGTGATCCGCAATGTGAGTGCAAGAGTTTTTGACTCTCATAATGAGTTTAAGATAGTTGAAGAAATACCACTGCAGCTTGTTGCCACACCATCTGTTCACAAACCTTTGTTCCATGCGGAATGGAATGCTGAAAACTACAAAAGTCCATCCCCTACTCGCTACTGGCTGCAAGTTTTTGCTCAGGATTCTCAGGGTGGGAAGACATCAAGCGAGCGACGACCATTTTCAGTTGAGGGTAAAGTGCAAATTCAATCACGTCCATGTCTGAACTACTTGATTTTTGAAGTCCAATGGGAAGACATGTATCAAGTTCTTCTGTGGAGTAATTTTGCCTTCATAATTGTACTATTGTTTGCTCCCAAATTGCTGTATCATTTTATGAAGAAAAGTTTGACATACCAAAGATGGACCGTGTCAGTTATGCTATCCCCTATCCAGCCGAGGAAAGCTTACTTTTGGTTGGTCTGGTTTCTAATGGAGGGTGCAAGGAGTAGACCCATCTGGTTTTCTTTGCTCATATATGTTATTTGGCTTATTGAAATGCCATGGTTTTGGGGTCATGCGACATCTGAGAAAGGAGAAATTGCTCAAATGTACTTATCCGGATGGAGCATCCCATCTCTTGGTGAAGACTTGACCTGGAACAAATCGAGCAACCCAGATGTGCTGGTTATTACACTGCCTTTCCTATACCTGGTGGTTGTCCCAGTTGTAGTTGTAATATATAGTTTGTTTGCAGAGAAGGCTGTTGCTTGTTTGCGGCACAGCAGAAGAACAGAAAACACGGTCAACCCAACAAATTCAAACCCTGAGTCAGGATATCTACTGCCAAGTGCTTCAGTGTCTTTAGCGAACCTCTCAGACAAGAAAATTCTCTCAATGGTAATGAAATTCTGTGGCGGCTGGACAAGGAGGGTGCTCCTATTGTTGTGCTGTATCATTGCGGTGATACATTTGAAGGTGCGTACCTATCTAAAACACCATCTGCAGACTGTACCATCAATTTCATGTCTTAAATGTTGAATTGCATATCTTGCAGCTTTCCTCAAGGCTAATGTCAGCTTATGGAGCCAAACCAGTAGCCTTTTCTCCTCCAGTAACGTGGATGCCGTTGTTATTATTAAGTGCTACTGCCTATTGTACAATGCCCAACACATATTAGTGCTGTCAGCTATTTTTGAAGCACGAGTATATTAGATAAGGGCGTGAAAGGTACTGTCCTTTTGTTGTACTTGAACGTGGTGTGAATCGTTTATCACCAACAAAAAGCTTTGTACAATTACTCGATGTTTCAGTTAATAAAGTGTCAATTTCATTTCATGGACGGCAATTCACGTAAAATTCTATATTTTGTAAAATTTATTTATTCTAAGAGTACATTTTTAAAATTCTATATTTTGTAATATTGGATTGTAAATTTGTAATGCTTTCAGATTTACTAACTTGCGTTCAACATCCGGGCAAAAATAAACAAGGAAATATATAGGTGTTTTCCTCACTAGACCCAGCAAATATACTTGGGCTTTATCCATACTAAAGATACTTATAGAAAATTACAATGCATACGATAAATTAGTACGATTTTTGCATACATATATGTATCAGCGCTGATACATATATGTTTCAGTTAAACAAAACAGGACAATTAGTGATGCATATGCCCACCGCAACATTACGAATCAAAAGTTAACCATAACAGCAGACGGCAATCAACTTAGGTTCACAGCTAGCGACACGCCACAACAGCACATGGCAACACCATAAATCCAAAGTTTTGACCTAAGGCAACAGCCTAAACTTCACCTGCGGCGCTGATCCTGTCCATGATGTTCGCGACAACCTCCTTGGACTGCCGCAGCAGGACGATGCTCTTCTTCAGGCGCTCGCGCTTGGCGCCGGTGCTCGGCGACGGCGCCAGCATCCTCTCCACGCCGGCCATCTTGTTGCCCAGGAGCTCATCCGCGAGCTCCGCCTCAAGGTCGTGCTCCACGAGGCGCTTGACGACCCGAAGCACGTGCAGCGCCAGCCCGTCGACGAGGCGGAGCACGATGCTCCTCCAGTACGCGGTGAGCCGCGCCCTCAGGTCGAACGCCTGCCCGGCCAAGCCGGCGTGCGCCCTCAGGTGCGAAACGTCCACCTCCCCAAAGCCCTCCAGGGTGATCCTCGCGGGCTTGGAGCCGTCCTCCACGGCCTCCATGAAACTATCGTGGCCCTCCATGATCTCCGTCCACGTCCTCATGTAATCCGGGTTCGCCGTGTAGTCGGAGACGAGCTCCATCTCGATCAGCTCCTTGACGTGCTGCGCCGACCGCGCCCGCGCCTTGTCCATCAGTGTCTGCACGGCGCGGCGGCACGACGGCTGCACCTGGGGGAAGTTCTCGGAGTGCTTGAGAAGGATGTTCATCACCACATCCTCCACGTAACCCCACACCTCGTTCACGAGCTCGTGCGGCACGTGCATGACGGTCTCCACCTTCTTCTTGAGCAAGACGAGGAACGCGGACCTCGGGAGGAAGTTGGGGAGGTTGATCCCCTTGGTCTCCTCCAGGACGCGCACCTCCTCCATCAGGAACATGGCGTCGTCGTCGCTGCTCTTCGGGCACTCCGCGGGAAGCCTCCTCTTGTAGCCGTCCATCTTCTCGGCGATGCGTGCGGTGCCGTGGAAATGGCGGTCGTCGGGGAACTCGTCGAACTCGCCTCGGACGAGCACCTTCTCGAGCGAGGCGCACACCTGCTTGACGATGTGAAAGAACGCCCTCACCGCGTCGGCGACGTTGTTGAGGTCCGGCGGCATCTGGTCCAGCTCGCTGCTGTGGCGACTGAGGCGGTCGTTGATCTGCTTGACGATGTCCGGGAGGCATTTGGCGATGATGGTCGCCTGAATCTGCATCAGCCTCTGCGCGAGCACCGGGATGCCGACCATGGACTTGTCGATCTTGGAGAGGAGGGGATGATACTTGAACAGCCGCTCCTCCTCGATGCGCGCCTGGTCGTACGTCTCCTCGCCAATGCGGTTGCGGACGCAGACGTAGCCGAGGCCGATGTTGACGTCGTCCATGGTCACCTTCTCGAGCAGGCCCTCAGGGGCCTTGTCCGCCTTGGTGACGACGGCGAGCGTGCGCTCCCCGGTGCGGTCAACCTGCTGCGACATGCGGATGGACTCGCACGTCGGGAAGTCGACGGTGGCGGAGAGCACGTTGAGGATGATGCTCTCCTTCGGCGCGATATACTCCTTGATGATCTTGGCGATCTGGTCGTAGATGTCGTCGGGCTGGCCCTGGACGGGGACGCGCGTGATGCCGGGGAGGTCGACGAGTGTGAGGTCGGGGACGCCGCGCTTCCGCACGACGAGGGTGATGGGCGCGTCGGAGATGCCCTTGCCGCTCCCGGCGATCTCGGCCGTGGCGGCGTTGATGGCGTCCGCGACCTTGGCCTCCGAGGTGGTCACCACGCGGCCGTTGCTGTACTCCAGCTGCAGCTTGGGCGAGTCGGCGGAGGGGTCGTCCTGGAGCCGCATGACGAGCGGCACGCGGGTGCAGATGCCCTGGCCTCGCGGGAGGCTGATGCCGGCGAGCGACTCGAGCACGCTCGACTTGCCGCTGGACTGGTCGCCCACCACGACGATGGTCGGCAGCTGGATCCCCTCCTGCGTCACCTTGAGGTGGCGCAGCCGGTCGACGGCGTCGAGGAGAGGGCGGATCTGGTCGTTGTAGGACTCCGCGATGGCGCTGCTGGTGACGACGTCACTGGCTGCGACCAAGGCCTTGGAGTCGCCAACCAAATCCTTCGCGCTCTTGGTCGCCATGATCGGAAGCAGCTTCTTGGACATGGGTGCAGCAGCTAGTGTGGGTGGCGTCAGGGCGATTGGAAGAAGCAGGGGAAGGAGATCGCTGTGGTTGTGAGTTGTGCCACGCCGGTGAGGAGGGTTTTAATGGCGGGGATGGGTGGGAGAATGATTGCCCGGGAGGTGGAGCGCCGCGCACTGGAATCCCTTCTCGGAAGACGAGGGGGGTTTGCGCGCGCCGGGAATCGGAGCGGCGGCCGCGGTGAAGCGAAAGTTCAGTACACGAGCCGACGAGCGCGTCTTTTCGCTTTTCGAGCTTTGTCTTGTTCTCCTGGAGAAAGGTGGGCTGCTTTTTAGACACCGATTGGGCTACTCTACTACCGGCCCGTGGATTGGCCCATTACTGAAAGGCTCACTTTGGCAGGACCAGTTCTCATTCAGCCCGATCTAACTTTCAGCCCATAAACAATCGTGAAGTACTCCGGAGGGGCCCGCGTGAAAAATAGGTCAAGACGCAGCCCGCACCTCGATTGGATGGTGCGCGGCGACCCGATCCCTGGATCGCCTGTACGGCCAGTTCATCTCGCCGGCCGACGATGCCCGGAGCTCCGTGGGCCTCCGCACGTCGGTGACCCCGCCTGATCACTGCTGGCAGCGCGCGAGCAATTCGACGAGGTTCCATCTTTGAGGTCTTTGTTCGCGCGTGTCGCCTGCAGCGCTCGCGCACACCACGTGCTCGACCAAATGCTCACGAGCCGTAAGAGGCCTACCCAAGACCGGGGGGGGGGGGGGGGGGGGTCAAGTACGCCGGCGACGAGGGGCGAGGGGAACAATGGTGGGCGAGATCGAGTAGTATCAGAGGCCTTCGCGCCGCGTGGTACCCCAACGTCGACGCCGCGAGGTTCGCCGGCATGGACGCATGGTGAGTTTCAACAACTATACTCTTTCAGTCTTTATTTCTATATTTTCGGGGGCCAACAATTATACGCGTACTGTATTGCAACTGCGACTACACCATTGTTAGTCTAGTAGGTCTAGCATAGAAAATGCAACGAGTATACTTTGCATTCTCTCCACAGTCCACAACTCCAGATTATTGAGTCCATTATGATCAGTGGGGCCTAACCTTCCAGGCTTCCACGAGCTGAAGAGTGAAGACAGCTCAAAGCCAGACTTCAAAGTGAGCATAATTGGGCAAGCCAGAGTGCCCAGTTAATCATGCTATCATAAAGATGTGCCAGTAGTACTATACTAAGTAATCTGTACATCTATGGCTTCTTAAGTTTTAGGGAAGAAAAAGGAAGGCTTCTTAAACTGGATGGGAGCAGAGGATTTAATAGTGTACAGCAGAAGCACAAGGACCAGAGAATCGTGGCAAATGCAATAGCAATTCATCATTTCCGAAAGGATTGCTTTCTTCATCAAATCTGGCTATAAAAAAAGAACAAACCGCACGTACCAACCATACAAGCTACAACCTCATACAGAACAGGACAAACTCATGCACATTCCTACCTCTGCACAAACAATTCTGAAAATTGAAGAAAAAAAAAGAAGAGAATAAATAATAGATCCTCCACATCTCCACTCAGACTAACTTTACCTTTTCTTTTTTTCCCCTAAGTTGTGCATACATCCGAAGCTGGCACCAATGATTCAACATTGTGCAGCTTTGGAAGGACTAATGATTTCTACAACTACCACATCATAAAGCCGGCAATGCTGGACCAGAAACAAAAGGAAGAGGCTTTGCTTCCGTGCCACCGGCAAAATGAGCAAAACCTCCCATGAAATCAGCCATTATCTTTCAAAGGTACCATCACCAACCAAGTACTTCAGATCATTCCGATCGACTCACCAAAGCCGATCCACTAAATCAATAGCAAGCTACGGTAATCTGCAAAGCATAATTGATTTTGGACGTTATTGATGGTAAACAGCTATCTGAAAACAGTTAAGGAGGATATGGACTGTTTCAGTAACACAGAATTCAGTACTGTCCAAAAGTATAAATACGAGTGCTAGCTTTTACTGTAGAAATTATTGTCTGCATATTGGATGCTCTTGATGTTAATCTATACCAAAATTATGTTATTTTCTCCTGAAAATATAGTTCACACTAGTACAATCAAAGATGCTTCCTAATGTATACCTTCTGAAAAGTATCACCCACCCATTGCAGTGTAGTAAAGAAAAAAAAAAGAAATTTCCAGGAGTAGGAAATTACCACATGTTATATATAAGAGGCATGTGCTATGCTGAATTTGCAGCAAGGGCATCACCAGCATGCTTAACATGAAGTTCCACGCTCCGGAGTTCGCGAAGATGCTGCAAGATCTCTTGAAGAAGGTCCATGCCCCTGTCACCTTTCTTCAGGGACTTGATGCAGTGCCTGAGGAACTCCTTGTCTGCCTCTAGTGCTTGCAGTCTCTCGTATACATGATCAACCTCCTCTATTATTGCCAGCCTCTCCTGTTCTTTTACAAGCACAGAAACCGGTTTTGTCGAATTATCAACTTGCACATCCCCAACCCTTGCAGATGGTGTCTGATCACTGCTCTCATCTCCAGCTGCATCGAATAGAGGAAGAAGACTCTTTCCCCTGCAAATAGAATTTCGACCTTCAAACTTTGCCTTGTCACTGGTGATATCACCATTTCCCGGAGAATGGAGACCGTCAGCCGACAGTTCATATTCATCTGAAGATCGGCCCACAGCAGCACTGGTGTCGTTGATGTCATCATCTTCCAATGTGAAGAGCCTCTCCTCCAATGTCTTGAGCTCTTCCAAGATAGATAGCCTTTCCATCTCAAAGTACGTCAAGGAGTCATCAAGAGCCACCAGATGTTTCTTGTTTTCTTGATCTGTCCTGGGGCTAAAAGCAGCATGAGACGGGCTCTGAAGATTGCTGCCATCCGGGGACTCACCTAGTTCGCAGTATTCATCGGAGTGCCCGTCACTGTCCTCACCACTGGATGACACAGAAGTGCCATTACCATTGGGGCTATGCCCGTTAGCCTTGAAGCTTGCCATTCTCCTCCTCTCCTTGTCCTCGTAGTGTAGCACCTTCTGCCTGCACATATCCAGCTCCCTCTCCAGTTCCTGCTTCTCCCTCTCCCTCTTGGTGACCAACTCGTTCAGCAACTGCAGCGCCTCCTGGTCGTACTCCGACTGCTCCTCCATCATCCGTTGGTATTGCAGAGCCTCCATCTGCATTGCTGCCTTCTCTTCCTGCAACCTGTTGATCATTGCCATAGTCTGGTTGGTCGCGATGGCAGCGGCGCTCCTCTCTTCCTCAAGCTCGGAGTACAATGCGCTGAGTGCCTTTCGCTCCGCTTGCAGCGCCGATTTCAGCTGATCAACGGTGGAAGGCTCGGACAACTCCATCTCGCTTGCCACACTCCCGTCCAAAGATAAGGATAGTGACCGTTTCCTCTCAAGCAAAAACTTTTTGTCTGAGATTTGTGTGGCAACGCTGTAGGTCGGTGTCTCAGGTGCCTTGTCGTCTTCAACCTCGTTCTGTTCGTTTGGTGGCTGGTCTAATCTCTGGCTCGCCGTCGCCTCCTCCTCCTGTTCGGTTTCACTTGCTTCTAATCCAAACATAAGAAGTTAACATTAAGTTCATAATCATTTTGAAAGCATCTTGATGGGGGACAAGTTAATTACTAGTCAAATGCACAATCCGATAATTGTACTACCTTGCGCAGTTGGGTCTGTTTCATGGAGACTTTCCAATGGCAGTGGCTGCTCATCTGGGTACGCCAATGGATCAGTTGGCTCCTCAAACTCTGCTGATTCATGAAACGGCACGACATGGTCATCTTGCTCCCGTTCGCATATCTCACTTCCGATTGATACCTCACAGTTAGTGTCCACCTCTGCTGATCTGTTGTCATCTTCAGGAACTGCTTCAGTGACTGAAAGGAAAACGATGAGACTGGCATACCAGATGACAAGACTGGACAATTGATTGTCATCTTCAGAAACTTCTTCAATGACTGAAATAAAAACGATGAGAGAGGCATACCAAATGACAAAATTGGACAATCGAGAGAAGCCAATGATGATCTTACCTTCGGGCACAACAATTTCTTCTTCTTCAGCTGTCTCAACTTCTTCTTCTTCAACTGTTTCTTCTTCAGCAGTGGCATCTCCAATTTGAGCAACATCTTCAATAACCAATTCATCATCGTGGGGGATGATATTCTCATGAGGATCAGGTGGGCTTGTGACAGGCTCTGCACAAGGAACGGGCACAACAAAGTCGTCCTCAATCGCGACATCCGCCGTTGCAGCCGAAGAATCCAACATCCTCTTCTCCTCAAGAACAACTCCGATATCAAGATCTCTCAACTCGTGCTCGCCGTCGATATGGTCCATTTCTTTCTCCTTTTCACAGCACGCCTGATGCAAACCTGACTCGTCGGCGATTGTCATCTCATCGATGGCTGCCACCGACAGCAAGCGCTCGCCGTCGAGCTCGATCTCTTCTCCGACAGCCATGACTTCCAAGGACTCGTCCTGGACGGCGGCCATCTTCTCCTCTTGCTCGTCTTTATCGTCCACCTCTTCTTGCCGCTCTTCCTCCTGAAATTCTCCATGCTCTTCTTCGTTTTCCTCGTCGTGCTCCTCTTGAGCCAAAATAACATATCCTTGGTCTTCTTCTTCGCCGTGCTCTTCTTGAGCCAATGGAACATACCCTTGGTTTCTGTCTTCTTCGGTTGTCTTCTCCTCCGATTGGCCTTGTCCTTTATCCGGCAGCTCGCGCGAGGAGGTTTTCACAACGGCGTAGCAGCAAGAGCACACCGTGGCGCTCTCCTCCCCTGCATCTTTTATGCTCTCCTCCTTGGAAGAAGACAGGCAGGCCTCGCACATGTCGCCGGCGTCGGCGAGCCGACCGTGGTGCAGGCAGTACCCGAGCCCGGAGATCTCCGCCGCGTGGGCGCCGCAGAGGACGCTCCGCAGCCACCGCGCGCCATCCTCCTCCTCCGTCGCCTTCTCGAAGAGGCGGTCGACGCGGGAGCAGAGGAGGCACGGCGGCCTGAGCCCGAAGTAGGCGGCGAACCGGGCGATGGCGTAGGAGAAGAGCCCGTTGATCAGCAGCAGCGCGATGAGCGTCCACTCCAGGACGGCGTACGCCAGCGCCGACGTGACCCTCCGCGTCCTCCTGTGGAACAGCGCCGCCGCGAACCTGCTCGCCGCCGCCGCCGCCGCCGCCATCGCGCCCTCCGATCCTTACAAGTTAGTACAGCCACAGCATGAGAAAAAAAATTCCGATCTTCGCCTCGGCCTTGACGACTGCTTGGAATCTAGCTGCCGCCACGCCAAGCCGAGCGAGACCGAATGAATTCTTGCGGGTTGAAACTTGCAAAGGCAGCAGATGGAATGATTTGGGAGGGGTGGAGGCTTGGCTGGATGAGTTGTTTTGAAGCTTCTAGCTTTCACCTTTTGAGGGAGAAAGTTCGGGCCATTGGACCCCATGAGAGAGCTAGCTCGCTCTCATTTTTCTCCATTTTTTTTTCGCGTTTGAATGGAGGGAAGGGACGGATGACGAGGGTTAGGAATTCGTCCCGTTTGATGCGGCCGCCGGCCAATGGGTACGTACGAACCTTGGAGCCTGGTAAAATGGAAATGCTGCACCGGCCATGACGACGAGTCGACGAGACGGGCATGAATTGGCAAATTGCGTGGTGGTGAGCACGACTTGGGCAAGGATGGCCGTGCAAAATCTGGGGTGATTGTCTCCAGTAACCATTGGATTCTCTTTTTTTATGGCGATTCAGTGTCCCTGTCAACAGGTAGACACATCTTTTAATTTGTCATCGGTTGGAAAAAATGGTACGGAATGAAAGGAAGAACTGGCCTTAATCATACATCTCGGCACCAGCAATAGAATCCGATGCATGCATGCTCTTAATCGTACATGTACACTGGCAGGAACACCGGTCTTGTATTGCCATCGACGTGGTTTGTAGTTTGTTTGCCGTAGGTATATATAAGAGTATCGGTTTGTCGCTGGAGATTTTCATGTTTGTTAATAAAACGCTGCTGCAGAGGGTTTAGTTTATCTCATGAACCTACAGCGCTGCCTTACTGGGAAAAAAATGCATTCGCAGATTCGTTGCATCTGTTGTTGTAATGATAGTCTAAATATCTCTCAAATAATCATGGAAGGCTGGCCCCTTCAAGAAACCAGCTAGGTTCCATGAATGCCTTCTTCATGACAGGCATAGCCGTGAACACCAGGGGATCCGCAGCCTCTGTTAGTTTCAGGCTTTCAATGGCCGGCTCGCTCGTGCTGGACTATTCGTACTGATCTTGGTTAGTTGCATCGACGTTAGGCTAAGAGCATGTACAATAGCATGCTATAAGCCCGCTACAAATATATTTTAAGAAGATAAATAGGGAGAGAGAAGAGCAGCGGGCTACAGATTTGTAGCCAGCTGTAGCACGAACTCTAAGGCACACTGTGTGTATGATAAGTGAGACCAGATATTAATAGTGTAGTATGTAACTATTGTGTAAATGAGCTATTAGGTTAGTTATAGATGAATTGGAGCTAGTAGTTGGCTATACTATTAAACTTGCTCTAAGGGCATCCACAATGTAACCATAAGAGTGAGCCTTAAGACTTTTTTTCAGCCATATACATTGTGGACATGGACATAAGGCATTAAATGCTTAAAAACAGCTCTAAGCTTATAGTTGAACTTAAGAGATTAAAAAATGATATCTAATGGAGCCTATCAGCATATGATTGTGAATTGGTGGTATATTTCTTCTTTGATGGGACCCAGTGGGATCCAGCTTGTTTCTCATCCAAGGCTATAACCATTGTAGAGATAGATATAGCTAAAGCTATCTGCACATGGGCCCACCCCTATCGCTCATTCAGCAACCCAACATTGAGCCTGCCCTAAGATCAGCCAGCAGGACATACGTACGTGCACCGATGCACTGGTGCGCTCACGCACTGGAAAAGCAGGCCGAGTTTATTACGCAGAAATCACCACGTTTCGCAGCAAACTGTACACGAGAGGCTTCTTTCGAGTGTAGCATGGGGAGAAAAGCTAACGTTCGGAAGGACTCGGCTAGCGCCCACGATAAAGCCAGCCCAGGACACGGCGGGGGACATGGAGATGTTGCGCGAACAGCAGCGGGAATGATACGCCCCGTGGCATTATTGGCGGCGAGTTGGCCACGGGAGCGCGCCCGCGCGGGCGATGGCGCTGATGAGGAGCGGAGCGGAGTTGGTGGGGAGTTGATTGCGCGCCGCGGCGCCCCCACCCGCCACCGACCCGACCCAGCTTTCGGCCGCCGGCCGGCCGTCTGGATAGTGGGCTACCTTTGCCTTTGATCCCCAAAGCGTCCTCCTTTTTTTTTCCCCTCTCGCAACGGCCAGCACGTCTCCTTCGCAGCGGCACCCATCGTTTCCCTGGTTTTTCTTGCAAGATTTGACGACCGTCCGTGTGTTCGCGTACAATAGTTGTGTTACTTGTGTCAATGTGTGGGCACTGGGCAGATTAATAGTACATGCCGGTTCAGTGTTTGCGTTGCGTGAAAGGTGCAAAATTGATGGATTCTCCGAAAGCGGCAGTTAAAGTTGAAGGTAGAGAAGACCGTGATGCTTTGCTCAGGTAAAAACTGGAAGCTGGGGCTTAAAGAACGTAGCCCGGAATGCTTCTAGACACCTAGGAAAATACAGCCTGTTCTTCTCCTAATCAGAGCTTCGGGCACGAACCAACTAACGTTCCGCTGGCAAAGCTCGAGATAGCAACCACAGTTTAGTATTTCTTTTAGACTCAATTTTAGTATTGGAAGAATAACAAAATAAGCGACATATATGAAATGGAGCAGTGCTATAGGATATACGTGCTAAAAAAATATTACAGAATTCTTACAAATAAAAATCTTTTTTGCATGTGTACCATTTTCCTTTTGCATGTGATCCTGATCCTAACAATCTGCTTATTGACCGAGACATAAAAACCAATCTCAAAGATCCCTAAAAGACTTATTCATGATGTGAGAAGGTTAAACAAAAGATAGGAGATTTATAATTAACGGTGCAGAAATGAAGAGAACAAATAAAAGGTGCTTTTCTGTTAACAAGAATATTATTTTCCCTGTTTCTCCCAACAGTTTTGAAGTTGACAATTTAGAGGGTGTTACAAACTCCTCTCCCAAAATTCACATATTCCATTGTTACCCCGACTAAAGCCAAGTTCCCGAGTTTACACCATTGTTTTTGAGATGATAGGTGCCACTCCAAATCTTTACCTACTTATAAAAAATTCATAGTGTTCTGCTGTTCCACCTAACATACATGTTTATCTTTTATTCTCTTTAAAAAAATAGATTTCTCCCAATCACTTATGGCGCCCCCCTCCCCCTTTCCCCTTCTCCACCGATCTCTCTCTCCCTCCCATTTTTTTCCTGGCACCCCCTCCCCTCATGATCTCTGTTTGTTCCTTTTTTTCTTGGTTTTTTCCTCCCCGACCTCTCACCTCTCTCTCCCTCGTGTTTTTTTCTCTTTTCTTTTGTTGGTTTTTTTCTTCTCAAGGAAACCGGCCAACTAGAAAAAAATAAAACCTTTTCTTCTCAAGGAAACTTGCCAACTAGAAAAAAAATGAAAACACAATATCATCGATTTGGAGTAAAATCTGTTGGCCCGAGACCGAGTGAAATCATGTGACTGTTTGCACCAGCACGTTATAGCTCGTGTGTTTTGCATGCCCAGGAGACGTGGCTCCCTATGATTCAGTTTGCATGACAAGTTGAGTTAGCGGTGATCTCAGGTTATTTGCCATTCTCTGTGTTGTATGGCAAACTGTGATAAGATTTTATTTGCATGGTAATTGGAATCACCGGTGCCGATTGGAAATGTCACATGCAAATGCAAATGATACTAACAAGAAGTTATGCTGCTGACCCATTCTAATAGGATATGTGTGCGTTTTGTTTAAAAAATAGCTTATGTTGAAGGTGAGAACAAAAATATTTTTTAAAAAACAAGTTATCTAGCAGTTCTTCGTGAAGAATATTTTCTATAGAAGAGTTCAGATCATATGAAAATAAGACCTTGATCATCTGTATGTGTATGCAATTTTAGTTTTTTCCCGTTGCAACACACGGGCTTTTTTCCAGTAGACTGAAATTGAAGATGATAGATGGCATTCCAAATAGAAATTCGATTTGTTGCATTTGGCACAGTCCTAGAATAAAAGTACCAATAATCATAAAAGAAAAATAAGGTAAGCAAAGTCACAGCTTGTTTCCTAGCCACTTGCACACATACTATCGTATAGGAACAGGTTGAGAAAAGAAAAGGTTAGCTATCATGGTCATTCTTAAAAGGCTGGGCAACCAAATGACCACACGCTCAAATTTTGAAACATATATACAATGAACTTGGCTAGACTTTGTGAGGCTTCAGCAATAGTAACCTTTCAACCATAAGATATTATATGAGGGGTACACACACTGTTAAGAGCAGGTACAATTGCAGACTATAAGCCAGCTATAAACATATTTCGAGAAGATAAAACAGGAGAGAGAGAAGCAACGAGCTATAGATTTGTAGCCAGCTGCAATACAAACTCCAAGATGCATGTGTGTATGACAGGTGGGACCATGTATTATATGTTTATATGTAACTATTATATGAATCGGCTATTAAATTGACTATAGATGATCTAAAGTCGTAGTTAGCTATACTATTAAACTTGCTCTAAGCTACAGTGGTGGAGCCCCAGGTTGAAATGATTTTTTTTTGAGAAACGTGCTTGTGAGCCTTGATTTTTTAAGCGTAAGAGCATCACCAACAACATCCTAAAATTTTATTCCCAAACCTTTTTATTATGGGAATCTTACACAGAATTTAAGGTGTTAAAATTTTCCTCTCTCCAAAAGATTGGGTAAATTGGTTTCCTAAAAACAAAAAAGGTGGGCCACGATAAAAATCCCCAGTGGAAAAATCTGTTTTACGCTCCTTCCTCCCGCGAGATCGTGTAACGCTCCGCTTTTCGTGAGTCGTTAAAAACTATTTCGGCAAAATCCTAATTGCGAAAATTTTCGTTCTTTGTGTGTGAGTCTAAGTTGTGCCAAGGATCTCAATTCAAATCCCGTTGTTCCCTCTTATCGCCATCAAAATCGTCCACCTCAAGATTCCAATTCCGACTCAAGTCTCCGAAATTCAATCACATCCCTTGAATCCCCGCCAAATACCTATCCCCATTTCCGAAAATATCAAATCCCCATCTCGAATCATTTCCTTGAGTCTCCCTTGATTCATCCCTAAACCCTCGAGTTCGAATATCAAATTTGAATTCGAATCCAAACCCTAAATCTCTCCAATTCTCTCCAAATCAGTCTTCTCTGCAAAAGTCTATTTTACCTCCCTCTGGCTCGGTGGGCCGACTCTTCCCCGGCCCATCTCCTCTCAGCCCGCTTCTCCTCCTCCCCGTACGTGCGCTGCATGCGCCGAGAGAGAGAGGCATCGCCTCTCTTCTTCCTCTCTCTTTCCTCGCTCTCTCTCTGCTTCCTTTCTCCCTCTCCTCGGCGCCGATCTCCCGCCGTCGCCGTTCGAAATCCGGCCGCACCCCCGCGTCGCGTGCGCTCGCTCGCGAGGTGGCCGACCGGCCGGTCGCTGCCGCTGTCAGCCCTGCCACGCCTG